TAATTTTCTAAACTTTGGCAATGACCTAGAATGATTCAAAGATGTATCTAAGTGAGGAACATATGGCTAGTCGTTAAAAATGTATCAAAGAGCTCCTCTTGTCTTTCTTTCTCGTGAATGATCTCTTGAACATCAAGGATCCCCTCACGTGCCCCCAGTCTGTTGGTTGGCACTCCCCTGCGAGAGCATCAGCACGCTATTAGCAATTACCTTGGTGATATTTACAGCATTTTAATGTCACTTGCCTGTATGTAAATAGAGTCTGTGAGGAGCACAGCACACCCAGGGCTCCCACCACAACAGCACTGCTCCGTCAGTGCGCCAGAGCGCTCCTGGGCCTTATGTAACTGCCAAAAATATCATTTCAATTGCTTTATGACAAAATAATGAGTCTGTCAGAGATGAGTGGTCAGAAAAACAAATTTGTTCTCCCACACAATTAGGGTTTATAGCATTGGACAGCAATATCAATCTCCAGTGATTCAAAATTGAATTTGCACATTGAGGGAAATGTGTTCTTGCGTGTGCTATAACCAGGCTGCTTAGCAGGTTGAACTGAGAAGATGGATATCCACTGTGCTGCAGAAACATCAGGGTGGAAGTTTCCAAATGCAGACAAGTTTTGTGGGGCCATGGCATTCACTACCACAAGCTCAGCACTGACAGATCTGCCCCACCAGGAGCAATAATAAAAAAGTCTGCAAAACTGTCACCAGATATAAATGGCAGACAGCTTTTCCCTTCAGGTAGAAAGCCATTTCAAGGCCTACATCTCTCCATACGTGACCTAATTGTCCATGGAGTTGTTGATATTTATAATCATGGACTTCAGTCATTCTCTGTAAAGTCATACAAGGATTAGACCTCAGCAGTGCCATTTACAGTGAGCATGTACTGTATCTCAGAACTGCACTTTGCCCTTAACATTTGCTGTGTCCTTACATGAGATTTTGCCCTTAAGCTGTTAGCGAGTGCAGTGCAGAGGCTGCAGCACAGATCCTCCTCTGTTTTCCAGACCTTAACCTGTGCACTCCAACCTGCTGTACTGATTACAGCTCCCTCTGTCATTCCCTTCTCTGCATAGGCAAACCCACTTGGTGTGCCAGCAGCTGCTACCCACCCACTGCTGCCCGGTAATTGCCTTTCTGGGTGTGTGTACATCATACCATCTACAGGGCTTGGACTTTCTTCTTTGGATTTCTAAATGGGCATAGAATACTGTCAGTATACTGGAGGTGAAATCAGTTTTTTAGGTTTTCAGACCTTCTCCACTGTTATGGAGCAGCTGAAGCAATCACATTCTGCCAATGGAAACATCAACACAGGCTATGGAATTGTTGTGTTAAATGTTCTTTGTATGTAATTAAACCTTTTGTTAGTATTTTAGATTGACAGCAGTAACAGCTGGGAACCTTCAAAGCAAGTGGTTAATAAAATTACAAATGGTACCTAGGATTTTCAGTAATAATTTATCACCATGGATATTCATATAAGATAACAAAATCCTTCCTTCTTGCCACAGTAGAAAAGAAAGGTAATCTTCCATAAGAAAGGGATGAATTTGGGTATCCTCCATAGGAAGCTGATTGCACGTCTTGAGTGATCTGCTGGGAGCTCAAGTCAGCTCCCAGATCAGCGGTGCTCAGCTGATTGACAGCTGAAATTCCTACGGTCCAGAATGTGCTGCTTTGTTTTCACACCACTGACAATCCAGTGTATCTCATAAAAAGAGTGATTCTCTCATGGTCTGTCTGGGTGCTACTTTTACCAAAATAGCCCTCTCTTTCTGTAATCCTAAATATTTGTTTTTCTTACTGCCTATTCTGCAAATAGAAGCAGCTTTTTATTGTACTCTAGTCATCTCTGAGCCCCGCTCCGCTCATTTACCTCTCTCAGTCATCCAGAGAAGCCTGTCCCTCAAGCACAACACGCATTGCTCTTTGCAGAAGTCTCTGAGACTGTGCATATGTACACTCTGATGAGGTCCCTGGGACAGATTACCCAATTCCTAGTGCACCCTTCATAAAAAACCAAAAGCATATGAAATATTATTTCCCTGTTTCTCTCTCCACATATACCACAGATTTTGATACTGCCTTGGGTTTCCCCAGACATGGTACCCTCCAGTTTGCTTTCTACAGATGCTTCTTGTTCTCTTCCAGTTTTAGCACTGCCTGCATTTTACACACATTCACTGTTCAGCTACAGTCTTGATTTGCAGTGGAAGTCATGATCTATCTCTTCAAAATCTGTCAAGTGGCTTCAGAAAAAAAATGGTGCAAGAGGAGAATCAGAGCCTCTGGTTCAGTCTTCCAAACATCTTATTCTACTTACACTTCCACTCTTTTACTCCTTATCTATAGTTACTGACACTAAGAAGACTATCAGTTCAATCGCTTCAGATTCCATTAATCTACAGAATTTTTCATACTTGTATGAAAATAAACATGAGCCAAACCCAACTCTTCTGTTTATACACTAAAAAGGCAAAGTTTTTACCACACATTATCTGATATTTGTGGTTTAGGTTTAGGGGCGGTTTTAAACATTTATTTTTGTGCCCAGTATAACTAACTCTTATTAAGTCAAATTTGACATTTTTAATATAAATGTACTTTTAACCTTAATTTTAGCTAGTCTTGTAGTAAAGTTTAGTGAACACATTTTTTCTGTGTTTTCTTCTCATTAGAAAGCGTACACAACTAAGTTTGAAGTATTCTGAGGATTATTTGGAAATTCACCATTGTTGGCTCTTTTTTTGCTCAGTTACTAACATTAGATTTGGGCTATCCTCTGCCTACAAAAGTTTTAGATCAATCCTTTATTTTTTTTCCAGTGATCAAACTTACTGTTCTCTTATTCTCTTTAAATCGTACTCCTAGAAGGCTACACTACTCTCTCCACATAGTTTTCTTTCTTTTTTTTTCCTTTTTTTTTTTTTTTTTTGGGGGGGGGGGGGGGTTTCAGTTTTTTGTTATTACTTGGAATTTTCTTTTAGACAGGATGCAGCATTTGGGGTAATTCTGCTGGGAAAGCTTTCAAAAATACATATAAAGCATATAAATAAGTTGATTTGCATAAAGGCATTGATTGAATGAATCTTTGATTATTCTACTGGTTTAGGACAAGAAAAGCCATTTAGCAATTCTTCCATTTAGGAAGCTAAGTGGCTAAAATGTCCCTACTTTGTCTATTTTGTGTGTGTTTAGTCTGAATGCCCGTATGGGGGCTGTGGGTTTTAAATCTCAGTTAACAGGGTTTTAAAATTTGACAGGATTGACAGCTACTTCTACAAGAAAATGCATTTTGCTGGCTTTGTGCAAAGCTGCCTGTACCTGGTACAAACGTAGCCCTCCAGGATGTCTCACTGTCTCTGTCTGGTGGGGCTTGGTTGCAGTCACACGAGATGCCTTGAGCAGGACCCCAGTCAGTCCCTTCCTCTCTCCAATTTATTCTAGCTACCTGCTTTTCTCCTCTATTTTTTGGTCTTGTTCTTACTGTATATGTCTCCTGTTTGGAGTGTTCCATTTCCAAATTCCTGTGGACACTAAAACAACCCATGGCTTTTTTTTTTTTAATAGCAGTACCCTTTACCAAAAGGTTGAGTGTCTGGTGAATAGATAGAAGTCATTCACTGATGCCCAGACAAGCATCTTTCATTCTACTCTGGCAACTCACTGAAAATTCACAATTGATTTAGTCTTCAAGCACATAAATTTTGTAAATTGTGTAAAAATTACTCTCTTTCACTTGTCCAGCATATTGAGTACATTTTGGTCATTTCAATTTTAAAGGTGTTGAATCTGTTTCTCTTCAGAATGAGCATTGCTCAAATAACAGCAGTTGCATTCATTTCTAGCACAGAGAGAATGCTCCACCATCTACTGTATTACATATTCTTGTGGATTTTCTCCAGCAGCTACTTATGACAACTGCAAGCTTGTTTTACCCTGGGGATATATATGTATGTGGCCAATTGCTTCAGGTCATATTCCTTCCAAATGGAAGTCAGCTTGACAGCTGTTAATTTGCACTTGGCCATTCCACATGTTGTTTTGCTCTAATTATTGGTCACTGTATGGAACAGGTGACAAATGCCCACATGAGAACTCTGTAAATTACTAGATGTACGGTCATTAGGAAAACAAACAGGAAAGGTCATTAAATACTGGTTTTCTCTCCAGCCCCAAACAGAAATAGATTTTAGCTGGTTTTGACATCCATGGGAAAGGGATTTAAAGAGGTGAAAATACCTTATTGTTTATGCAACTAACTTCCCATTCTGTAAGTGTCCTAGTTTTAGGAAAAGAGGGGAATTTAAGACCAGATGCAGAATCTGGTTTATCTAATGATTTTGTCACAAGGCTTGATTAGGTTTCTTCCCCAAGTAAAACTAAATGTGCCTACCAAAATAATTTGTCTGATCTTCAGCTACTACAGCTATATTAAATTAAGGCAGGAAAAGAAATTTCCTTTCTGAACAAGACAGTACTTGCTGAACAAAAATGGCAAGACACCATTACAATGAGCTTTCCTTCTATTGAAGTGTGAAATTGCAGAGGATATTTAAATGAAGTATGTTTTCTCAGGCTCCCAGGATGTAATTTGGACCAGATTCTTTAAGGACATAAGCAGAGGACTTGTTTTGTTCCTGGGAATAGTAACTCTTGAATTTTTGCAAGATTATAGACCTATCTGTAAAAAAAAAAAATATATAAATCACTTATTTGTTCTCAGTGGTGCTGTATTAGTGAAAACAAGATTCAGCATATTGGAGTCTTAGTGACATTTTTGCTTTTAGACCTTGTGAGCTGAAGATCTGCAACTTGCTCTTTGCAGGGATGTGTTGGGATGCCATGTTTTCCTGGTAGAACAATACCAGACGGACAGCACAGAAATCAAGTGGTTGCCATAGGACATGCTTTTCTAAAACTTGAGCTTAAACTCACCCACCTCTAAATAACATCCCACTTTGTTTTATTTTTGCCTTTTAAAATTAGGTGTAAGTGCAACCTTCATGCTACTGGCTGTAAAGAAGAAAACAAAAGACTACTTTGTGAATGTGAGCATAACACAACGGGCCCAGACTGTGGAAAATGCAAGAAGAATTATCAGGGCCGACCGTGGAGCCCTGGTTCTTATCTGCCTATACCTAAGGGCACTGCTAATATCTGTAAGTAGTTCTGTATAATAAGGATATTTTATTATTACAACTCTTCCCCATATCATGACTCTGAAGGAAGATTAATGTTTGCAAAAGTTTGTCATTTCTTCGGACTCGGTGTGTATAACTGGACAAGGTGTCAGTTTGTAAGTGCTAATTGTAAGTACACATCATCTGTGCTCTCACATGGTTTTAAATAACTTCCAGGAGAACCACATGATTATATCCATAGACAGATCCCTGGACACTGCACAGAGAGGGCTAAGGAATGAGAAGGTTAGGTTAGGACTCGTCACATAAAAAACACACACAGATGAGAGAAAACAGTGGGAATAACTGCAGTACTGCTCCAGCCACGGTGCCCTCAGCTCTCCATTCATACATTGTCTTGAGGTTAGTGACACTCTCAGCTCAGCATGTGAGATCCCTGCACATTTTTTGTGCATTTAAAAAAGGGGGGAAAAAACACCGCAGGCCAGATTTTTCATATTACTAACTAAAGATCTAAACCTGCAGTCCAGACTCAGATGCATTCTTGTAGATCAAGTGTTGAAGAGAGAAAATGAGGGCAAAACTTGGGGTTTTATATCTGCTTGTTTCCAGCTAACAGCCCCTCCACAACACACATGTGGACTGTTCCAGCACACTTCCATATTATCCAAAGCAGGAAGTTACTGACAGCTCTGTTTCCTGGTTCTGGACGGGATTGGGCCAAAATAAAATGTGGGACTGGAAAGAGAGGGCACAAAGACAAGTATGACCATCAGTTCTTCCTGTCTCGCATACATGAAATACGCAGTGATTCAGAATCCCCCTGAACTGAAAAACGGAATTAAATTCCTTTAAAGAAAGGATGGAAAATGAGAATACCTTTTGATAGAAGTTACTAGCTTCTTTTAAGAAAACAGTCCACAGTTTTGCCCTGATTAAAAGCAAAACATTCATTTTAAAATATTAGATATAACAATTTATTGAAAAAGTTATTTGAGAGAAACAGAGCTATGGATGCAGCTGAATGAAAAGTTTAAAACCAGGAGCAATGTGCAATGCTCAGAATGTTATCTAAGACTTCAAAGCAGCAGCTGTGAAGAATCAAAACTCAGAAATTAAGATCATAGGAAGCAGGAGCTTATCAAGTAAAATGTGAGAGTAATAGACCAAGTAACAAACCATGAAGTGTGGGGGCATGAAATTATGATAAAATTCTTACTGAGCAGAAAAAAATGAACTTCCAGAAAGCAGGGAAAAACATTTTGTAAGAGTCTTCACTTTTTTTGCCTGTTATAAAAACTGAGTGTGGGTCACAGAATTAATACTTTAAAGATGTGTTTATGGTGAGATGCACCAGGTTGATTTTAGCTAAATTCACCTTGCTGTGAGTTTTACCTCATTCCCAGTCAGATGAGCACACGACAGATGGAACAGTGGAATTAGCACCTACTGAAAGTGTCTGAAGCTTTAAATCAACTTTATGTTAAAACAAGATCAGTGAATTTCAGCAAACATACAGTTTCATCAAAAATCAAAACATTTTATAAATAATAGGTAGTCATTTCTGGGGATGATGGTGATGATGATAGCATCATGAAAACATAACCTTATTTGAGCTGAAGAATACTCCACTTACCCTCAAATCCTGACTTGAGCAGTCAGCAGTAACAGGAATTTCTGGCAAACAGGAAGAAGCATGAAGGATTTCTTCTTCACCTTCTCAGTTTACCAAATAAACTGGCTTTCTGAGCAGGACTTCTAGGGTTGCTTGCTGCTGAACAGAGAGAGACACACAACTAACATAAGCTTGACCTCAGTGATACCTTATGGCAATACATTTCTAATTTTAGTGAAACAGTGAGTGAAAGGTATTTTATTCTGCTTGCCTTAAATATTTTTCAATGTTTAAGCCAGTACCTCCTTAGATAAGAAAGGAACAAAGAAAAAATGCACCTCTGTTTACATCTGTTACACCATTTATAGACTTGACCTTATCCACTCTTCCACTCTTTTTAAATGACAGGTCCTGATCTCTCTCATCTTATCATAAAACCATGCCACATTTCTGGTCATCTGTGCTTTCTCTTCTGGTTCTGTGATGTCGTTTTTTTATTTGGTGAGGCTGAAACTACACATGATATTCTAGACAGGACAACAACATGGCTCTTTCATGATAACATTAAAATGTGGGGTTTTTATATTTTGTTACTCTCTGGATCAGTCCTTGAGTCCTTCTTTAAGACTGTATTACAGTTAAAACATTCATTCTGGCCTCAAGGCTGACTTAAATTACAGGTTATATGCTACCAATAGTTAGTTCAGAAACATCATATTTGACTTCCTGTAAAATACTTCTTGGGGCAGCATTTCCTCATGGCAATTCTTGTTCAATATCATTTACTTCAGATGCTCACAGACTTTGAGAAAATTCCTCAGCAGGTGAGAATCTCTCTTTCTTTGTTGTGAACATCAGTGAAAACAATTAATTTAGTATTCAATATTAAATTAATTCTTAATTAGTCATAGTATTAATAACACCTCAATTGCCCATCTTCCCAGTTATCTCTCTGGGCCTCCTGCTTCTAGAATGATTGTTTTAACAAAAAAGAATTTCTAACTTCTGTGTCCATAGGTAGTTGATTTTTGAAATACTGTGGTTTATATTTAAATTGGCAGATTTAATGCTTTTTTTTCCCATGTCTTTCTCCATTGAGAAGACTTACACTTGTGAAGGGTATCTTTCCAAAATCATCTACATTCTGTTGTTTTGAATTTGGCATTGGGGTTTGGATTTTTTTTTTCTTTTTTCTTATAAGTGAGCTAATTTCTATAAGTTACAAAAAAAGAGATGAGTTACATATGATTATTCTGAGCATCTCATACACTTGCCTCCAGCTGCTTCCATGCTGTTTGCATGCATATCTTTTTAGATGTTCTTTTCACTTTCCTTTTATCTAACTTCCTCATTTTCGTTTCCTCGCTCTCACAAAGTTAAATATTACTGCAGTGGATTTTTTTTTATCCTTTTCCTTCTCAACAAGCATGTTAAGTTTCAGTCCAGAAGTGGTTCTCTGATAACTACTTCTTGAATTGTGTCCTATGCACTGCTTCAGAACTAAATCAGTTTCTCTTCTTGTGGGTTGTCTGATTCTTTGGTACAAGCAGCAATCATTTATGATATGTAAATCTTCAATTCTTTTGTCATTCCCTGATTTAAGGCTGTATGTGTTGGAGCCTATGAAGCTATTCATTACTGTGTGAACTCTTTGCACAGTCAGTGTAATTTCACTTAACTTGTTGCCTTGATGTCACCATCTCCATCGTGTGGTCAGCAGTGCAGCCCTGGTGTTGCACTCTCCCTAGTCAGGTGTGGATTCTGAAACAGATCCTGGAACATGTTGATGGAAATAACTTCCCTTCATATATTACTTCAGTTCTCTGGAGGCACTTTGTATAATCCAGTAATACAGTGTTCCTCTGATACTTCTCCTTCCTCTAATTTTCAAAGACCATCTTTTTCATCTAAGAACAAAATATTTAAAAATTTAAATATGTTTGAAGTTTACATTAATATGCTTAAATAAGATACACTTTAAAATAGTTGTATAAATGAAAGACTGATTTTTTTTCTTCTTTCCACAATATTAAAAGATAAAATTTGTGAAATTTGTTTAGATTCAACAAGAAGCTTAATGTTTATTTCCAAATCTTTCCCAGCTGGAACTTCTGTTGTTTCCATTGCTCTGTTTCTGCCATTTTTTCTGGCCAATAAGACTTCATCATACCGTTTCAAGCTACAGCTCCTGAAACAGAATACTATTCCAGATTATTCTGTAGTCATAGTGGGAACCTTGACACAAAGCTGTTTTCTTTATCCATTTATTTCTTCACCATTTTAAGTCACCCTGAGTTTTCAGGAGAATGCAAAACATTTTTCCATGCTTTTCCTGTGAAGGACAGCAAGTACTCTGTTGTTTACTGGCACTAACAATATTTCTCCATTTGTCTCCACACAGCATTTATTTTATATTTCCACTCTATCTTATTGACTATTTTGTGACTACATTCATTCCCTTGTGCTGCCACATTCTATAGATAGTTTTTTCGGCAATATGTTTTGACACACAAAGTGAACTTATTGAATTTCTCTCTACTTGGTATTACAGGATAGCTTTTCTCCTCAGCAGTTGTGTCTGACAGCAGTAGCCCTTTTCTTCCTCCTGTTGTTTAGATCATCTTTGGCACTTAGGTTCTTTGCTCCATCAGACAGAGCTGTCTCAGACTGCACTGAGCTGCCCTGCATCAAAGCCTGCTCACTTTGTGTCAGTCACCACCAATAACCTGTATCAAAAGTGCCCCACACTCAGCAGAGCCCCCTCCCAGGTGTTACATTACTTTCCTAATTCACAGTTCAACATGAAACAAAGAATTGACCAGGACACGGGAAACATTGGTGGCTCTTTTCAGTCAACAGTCAGGCAGACAGTGTCAGTTTACCAAATTTCTCCTGCAGTGGGTTCCCTTCCCATGGTACAGCCTCTGTCTCAGCAACACAGCCTTAAACCTCCTTAAAAGGGAAAAGACTTACAAGACATCCATGCAGCACAGCTGCCACAAAAACAGTTTCTGGCAAAACTTATGGCACCTCCAGAAATGCACTGGTATTACCCTCATTGATGTTCAGTTTTTCCCATAAATACTTGCTGACACAAAGCCATCTTGAAGGACCTGCATAAATGAAGCTGTCCAAGAAGTTGTGCTTTCTAGTCAGGAATCCAGGTAACGAATCTCTTTCACTGAAAGGATCACACATGCTGCTTTCCAGTCAAAGCAGACTCATAAACTAGACAGTGTCCCATTTTCTAATGGCCCATTCTCCCAAGTAACTGTAAGTTTTCCAGTGCCTTTTTCATGACTTGATTTGAAGGAATGGGACACTTATGTTGAAGTTATAAAATATGGTTCCTTGATGCTTTTGACAACCTGTTTCGAAGAGAAAAAGGAAGATATCAATCAATAAGTTACAAAACAGCAAAGCTTCATATTGCTCCTATTTTATATTTATATTACATATTAATATTAGTCCACGAAGCTTACAGAAGGTATAAAACCACAGGAACATGTCACACTAAAGGCTGGGAAACCAAGTGTAAGGACAAAACTGCAGTGTATCAAGAACATTCAGGTAAACAGGAATGTCAGGAAAAACTGCAAAATCTGCAACTGATAAACTCATTTTCCTTCAACTGGGTATCCAGTGCAATAGCCAGCAAAACATTGCAGGTACATACCTAAAAACAATGCATTATAAATAATATGGTGTATTTTTTTTAAAAGGCTTGAAAAATTATCCTTCAGCACTCTACCCTCTTGCATGACCCTGCTGAGCTGGCTGTTTGTGCTGGCTGTGGTGACATCTGTTGCTGGGAAATGAATTGTTTCCGTACGTCACTGGTTTCAAACAACTCTATTTTTGCCATATACAGTGAAAAGGTGAAATGAAAGAGACTTCTGGTCCTTAAGCAGCAGCACACGGGAAGGCAAAGTGTCTGTTTTAAGATGTTCAAAGTGCCAGAAACAGTCTGAGTTTCAGGCTTTGCAAAGTTTCTAATATTCTATCAATAAATTATGATTACTTGGAAAAAAAAATCTTTTTATCTCACTGGGTATTTCCTAGACAGAGTTTTCAGTACTGGTTTGGACTCACTAAAACATAACACAAAGAAGTTCAAATTTTAAAAGATGTTACCCAATAAAACAATAATTATTTCCTCTGTCCCATTTATTTCTGGTGGTATCGCTTGGGAAAGCAGAGGTGAGGGATAAGAAACTTCATCAAAGCAGTGCCTTTTCTATTAATTCAATCTATACAGAGGAACAACTGCAAAATTAACAGTAGCAGGAGTTCTGGGGCTCTTGCAATGAAACAGATGAAATTTCCAAAGAATTTTCTTTGACTGTGTGTAATCCTTTGTCTGAATACAGGTTTAACAATCCATGAAAAGTTTGCTCCTACAATCATAATGATCACTCCCTTTGAGGGATTACAAGACACCAGTATCATCGAGCTTCTCAGGGCTTTAAATTGCTAGAGATTCAGAAGTTCTGAAATTGATGCTGAGCATCTGATATTGCAATCATTCCTCAATAGAAGAGCTGCAAAGGGAAGAAAGACTCACTGCAGGGAGTGCTGTCATGCTGCAGGGCAGATATTCTAGCAAAAGATCGGATGAAGCATTAACATCCCTGCTCTGACTCTGCTATGAAAAGCTCTATATTTTGTTCCTGTTTAAGAGTCCTGCCAGAAGCACATGCAGGGCATTGACAATGGAGGTGCTAAGAGGGGCTGCAGGGTCTGACCTGCCCTGACACTGGAAGCAGCAGTGTGGTCCTTCTCATGGAAAGCTTGATCCATTTCTTTGCGTTAGGGATTTCACACTGACACAAACTAGAGATAGAATCAAAAACTTGCTTTCTTTGCTAGCATCTGATTTGCTTTTTTCTTCATCTCAATAGCCAGCTCCATGGTAGCTAAGAGCTAAAACAACCCATTTCTGAAAGTAGGGGAAATGAGAAAATTACAGGGCAGATGCAGAAGATCGTACGAACGGAAAACACCAGATTTTTTTCTTCTCAAGTAATGCATATATATTTAGATGCACTTACAGTGAACATGTAATATACCAAACCACCGCCCTCAAGTCAAAAATAATAAATAGTATTAGTGACTTTCTCCTGCAATATTTGCAATTTCAGGGGCAGTACCAACCTCTGAACTTATTTGGCATGCTTTACTTGATGTCCCCTCACTGTAAATCTATTACCATTAATAACCATCCCAGTGATTTCAACTGGAAGATAATTTAGGCTGAACATTGCTTTGGTTTAACAACTGAATAGGTGTCAATTCAATCCCATTTTGTGCCTTGTACAACAGAATTGTCCATCAAAGGAGGCCTGATCCTTCAGCTCTCTAACCTGTCCCCATCACTTCACTGCTGCAAAGTGCTCACAGATTTCAGTTTCAGTACAAGGCTGACTGGAAACGATCCATGCCATGTAACAGAGCAGGTTCAAGCCAAGGGCCAGCAGTGGGAGCACAACCCCACAGCCTGTGGTTGTCCCCAGCAGTGCAGGGATGCCCCCGCAGCCTGTGGTTGTCCCAAGCAGTGCAGGGATGACCCCACAGCCTGCGGTTGTCCCCAGCAGTGCAGGGATGACCCCACAGCCTGCGGTTGTCCCCAGCAGTGCAGGGATGACCCCACAGCCTGTGGTTGTCCCCAGCAGTGGTGACACGGGCAGAGGCCTGTGCTCAGGCCCTTGCCTGCCTCCACACTGACAGAGAGGGAGAGCAGAATCACACCTCCTGTGCCTGATTACCTAAGGACTTGCACCAAACCCAGCTCAGCTGAATTTAAGAGCTAGCCTCAATATGTAACTCCAGATCTCACACAAACACTCCTTCTAAGAATAATTTCCTCATCATATGTGCGGTTTTCACAGAGTGTTAATAGATCCTGCGTCGTGGCCCTACATAACCAGCTCCTTTCCAGACAAACTCAGAAGTGTCATTCTCACTCTCTTCAGTAAGAAGGACATAAAGTAGTGCACTATCAAGGCCAGTCACCTCACACAGAGATACCTGGTAGCACAAAAACCAGTGTGGTTACAGAAGACCACACCAACTAAAAAACTCTGTACAGAAATAGCAAAACAGCTTTTGAAACAGAACCTGAAGATATCTTTGCAAGGTTAATACAGAGCCCTCAAGCTAGCAGGCATCTTGTGTTCATTATTTTCTGCCCAGGAAGCATTTATCACTATGAATTCATTGAAAATTTTGACGTACAATAATGTGAGGCAAGCAGACTTGCAGGAAAACCTCTTCCTTTGCTACAATCTGTTCAGGAGAGAAAGGAAAGGATATTTGTATATGTGTGTAGGAGACAGAGAGGTTTGAGGCGGGGGAGTATACCTAGAGGAAATACAAATACCATTTCACAGCTCAAGTGTGAGTGTGAGAACACAGTTTTTGTCTTTTGTCTAATATTTGTGTAGGTTCCATGAGTGTATAAAGGAAAACTAATCCTGCTAATTTAAACCAGCTACAATGACTTGCAAAAATTTAAACAAGCTGCTATTGAAACTTCAGGGAAAAACATTTTAAAATAGATTGTCTTTTTGCCATTTAAAATAAGGGGATAGGCATTCTCTTTAATGATCTTAACCACGAAAAGCACTTTTTGTTACTATAAGAACTATGACCACATTGTTCTATTATGATGATATTTGCATTTAGCTTTCACCTTTTTCATGGTGCTAAAATTTTGGAAAATACACGTTCATCTCAGCAGAAGTAGAAATACTTAAGTTTGCAAACAGTGTCAGTGTGGGGCTGGGTGAGCAGCAGGTGCTGTCCATGGTGCTCTGCCAGGCCATGGCTTCCATAGGATATAAAACCCGGGAGCTGCAATTCTAACGTGTGCCCCAGGAGTGATGTGGTGAAACATAAAAAGTCTAGGTTTGGTCCCCATTCTGCAAATTCTTTTACTTCAGCATTGTCTTAGCCATGCCACAAGTCAGGATTTTTCCCAACTTGTCTCTGAAACCTTGCTTACATTGAATATCATTTATTCTCAAGACATTCCTTCACTTAATTGCAGAGTGAGGTCCATGCCATCTCTGAGTAATGGAGAACTTTAAGATAGATGTTGAAAGAAGTGTAGCAGATGTTTAATGGAGAAACAGACAGATTTCTGCAACAAAATGCATGCCACAAAAGTCAATAAAACTTAAAAAAAATCAAACTGTATTTAAGGAAGAGGATGCAAATATCCAGGATTTCAATACTGATCTGCAGTTTCTGACTGACCCAAGTGATGAGCCACAGTCCCATTAACAATGGCATTTAATCTTACGAAAATGGCATTTTAGGAAAGATTTCATATCAATGGTTTTGTGCTACACACAAAGCCTAATTTTCAGGGCAGACCTGACAAGAAGCTAGTTGTTGGGATTGCATTATACAGCATGAGATCCCACACTGCTAACCCAGTGAAGGAGTTTTACTCCTTAACAGCCCCACCTCTTATGGTAAATTTCACCCGTCTCTGGAATGGTTTCCTTGCATTAATTCGGTTTAGGAATTGAAATGAACACAGGAAAAAAAATAAATCAATGAGAGGCTTAATCAATATGGCCAACCTACTGCATTAGATTGTTTCACTCAATTACATTTCTTTTACATAGCTTAATTTAGATAAGTGTCAGGTAAAAGAGGGAAAAATAGTTCTATACAATTAAAGCAACAGAAGGTACCAACTGATTTAAGCAGCTGGCCAAAGCAGTTAGCAGTGCATCTATCCCTTGGTTAAATTACTCTCCTGGATCTGCATAATACATGCATGACTGATATTTTTATCTAGAGCATTAAATCTAATGGCTGGTTAGTTGAAATACAAAACTGTTCTGAACAAATTCATGAAGTTAAGAGCGCTGGTATAGATCCCATCTGTCAATGCATTTTACTGGTCCCTGCAGCCCCATACTGAAAAATCTAAAAGACTCTGCATTTATAAAGGACTGGGCATGTAATGGCAGATGCTTGAGTTTAACTATGTATTGATAAAGTATTCTGAAGATGTTTTCGGAATCTTAGGTATAATAGCTTGGCCAGCTACAGCAAACAGCTAACTACACTTCTTTGTGTTTTTTCTTTCTCTGCAGGTATACCCAGTATTTCCAGTATTGGTAGTAAGTAATAAAACCAGTATCGTTTTGCATTGTCATTCAGCTTCATGGATCTGATTTCCCAACATCCCTTTCTGGTGTAGATAAGTTTCTCTGACAGCATGCCCTGTGGTGCAGGGGCTGTGTATTGGCCTTCCTCTCTGGCATTAACATGTAACTGTTATTACGTGGTCAGAGACAATGTCACTCCTTACATCTGCATTCAGCCCCAGATTGTCTGATCGATTCTTATCAGCAGATGAGCACTGAGTCCTATAAAACTAGTGTGACACAAAGAATTAAGACACTGTTGCAGAGAAAATATTTGTTGAGCATTTTGAAGTGTTTGCTAATAACAGAAGCATAGGACCAATAATTTTCATGCATGTATATGTGTGTAAATTCAAAGAGCAAATGGAAAAGTTTATAAATGGAATAGCTTTCATTTCTATGAAGTAGATTAGCAAATGCAGCGTATCTGCTGGAATCTGCATTAACTCTAGCAGGCTTTGAACTCGGCTTTACTCCACAAAATAAATAGAATTATGTTCCTTCACAGAAAAATGCTTGCCTGTATGTAATCAAAGCACCAAAATACAACTCTTAAACTATAACAAAATCATGACACTGTTATGTAAAAAACTGGTATATCTATGAAATAGATGATTACTGAAACAAAGCATGTGAAGAGACCAAGTGCACAGCAGCTGAGCTGTGAGCCTCAGCTGAGTTCCACAGCTGAGGAGTGCACACAGTCATGGCACGTTAGTTAATTGTCAATAAAGCAGGGAGGGAGAAATGGGATCCTGCTGTGGCTCAAGGAAAGAATATTCCCCACAGCCTCAGCTTTGCAAATACTTTGGACAGAACTTGCATAATACAGGACAATCACAGTTGTAAAATACCACAGTTGTTAAATGCAATTTGCTATATCCAGTATCCAAGTGAAAAGTTTTTAACAATTTGGGTCAAACTGTCTCACTTCTTATGATGCAGTGTCAGGACTATCAATTTATAATCAACTCAGTTTACTTAAGCTCATGAATAGCACTGATTTGTTAAGCTCTAGACAGGCAAGTTAAATGCCATCAAAACTATCTCCCTTGCAAGTGCAAGCAGCTGAATGCCACAGCATCTGTTTTCTGCTTTAAATAGAAAAACAGCATCAATGACAATAATGTGCAAATGAAAGCCTTCCATCTTAATAATGTCATTTGCCTGCTCTAGTGTCTCCTCTGGTATTGCACGCCTGCAGATTCATAGTGATGTGCTATTTTCAAAACTTTGTGTTTATACATGTTTGATTTAAAAAAAAAATAACTAAATGAAAGAGAATAAGTTTATGTCACTGTTCTCAGAAATAATCCTGCCATTAATAACAGAAATGGGATGAATGGGAAACAGTTCTTTGGAGTTTGATTGTGCTAGTTTCTTAGTACTACTGTGTTGCATGGTCGATATGGTTGTGTTTTCACTTCACCCTCCATACAGCCTTCGTCACCACATCTACCATTTCTGAGCATCAGCAGATGTTGGCCTTTGAAAACTTAATAGGGAAACTCAAATACCTTTTGAACAATGGTGAGCTGAAAGGATGCATTGTTGACCTCTTTGTATTTTACACTGGGATGGTTAGTACAGTTTATTTATTACGAACAGAGAAAATTCTGTTTAACATTCTATAGGAAATACAAGAGTTTCTGCAAATCTATGTTTTATCTTTAGTCTGCTGTAAATGTCTTGGGATAATATGTGGTAGAATTCAACATGTTTCTTTGTCTACCTGGAAAGGGTGAAGTATGAGCATCTCTTCATGAGCACAAGTAAATACTGATACTCTGCTTGCTTTTTCCATGTGATTTTTCTTAAATAGCTCAGGGGAGAAATAACTCTGCTTGCTTAATGTTCTAAACACCCTTCCTCTAACATAGGAATAGCAGAATTTTTGTTAAACATGGATAGAATCCATAAATTTATCCTGTTCTCAAAGAGAATTTAACAGAAGTCCAATTAACACACAAAACCAAACAAGATTAATTAGTCATGGCTGCTTTAATGGATTCTGCATGATTTTTGTTTTGTCTATACTAACACAGCATTTGTTTTCATATCAACGGAGTTTTTCCCCATCTGGGAGCAGGAAGTTACTCTTGGGAGATTCCGTTTGGGTTTCATTTTGCCTGGCAGCAAACACCTACAGGGGGTATTGGCTTTTGTGTGCTCCCAGCTTTTTCTAGTTTATAAGGAGGAAGGGGTTGGGGCAGGGGGTTAGAAACACTAAATTTCCAGCATGCAAAGAAGATGCCATCTCAAGCAATGTTCATTGACACTTTTTTGAGACTGCAATGAAAGCCAGCAAAGAATAAAATACATTCACCTGTGTGCACATATATGTATTATTCTCTATTGTCATTTTTTTACCTCAAAGGATTTTGTATTAAAGCAGCTTAGCACTAAAATTTGATCACAAAAAACCAGTGGTCATTGGTAAACATCCTTTCTGATCATCTAGAAGAAAACAAATCAAACCAAAAAACCAAAAAACCCAGAGCTTTCCCATTAAGGTAATTTGTACCTGCTGTTGTCTATTAGTTGAATAATAGGTTCTCTGATCATTTCCAGCATTCTTGATTACAATGCTGGCTCTTTCAGCATTTTTCAGCCATGTCTGAAAAAATACTGGTGAAAGTGTTAGCAATTAATGAGTCCCAAAACAATTTCATAATTTTAAGCAATGCTTATATACAGTATGTAAACATTCTGAAAACTGCATTATTTTACTTGCTAAAATAATGATTGTACAATTTTACATAGAGCAGTGCATCAAAATGTTCACTGTTGTGACCAAATACCAACATTACTAATCTGTACATGTATGCCTTCAAAAAGTTGAGTCTTCTAAACGATTGCTTCTTTTTTTTCTGTAAAGCATAACTCCGCTAATTATGCTAAACAGTTTGTTACAGAGGGTATAATTAGATAGAGGATAAGATAGACATGATGTGCAAATAGCTCTGTGTGGGCGATTATCACCTTAAAGCCTGCTGCTGGCAGATGAGTCAGAGTTTAGAGACAGACCATGCACCCAAGTGCAAGATGCAATCACAATAACCAAACAGTATTTTCTGCTTTGTTCTCTATGTTTTTGTTCTTCCTTATAGTCAATTTTAATTTAAGAGAACTTTAATGATAATGAATGCAAGATGAAGTAAAAAAAAATACTGAATGGGCACTTTCTTATTTGATTGTTTTCTTAACCTTGAAAAATACTCGTAGATATTTTTCTGGAACTAAAATAGTGTCTGGATGAGCATAGATTTATTTCTTTGTAATGAAATTCTAATGTGGTAAACATATATCTTAAAAGGTGGCGAGAGCAAATATTAGTGGATTTTTTTTTATTTTTTAATAACAACACAAAGTATTTTGGACCTGATTTGGCCCTTTTGCAGTAACCAAGAAGTTCTCTTATTAAATCTTCAGTCGTGTGAGCAAAGCCATTACCATGCCAAACTCTGGACTAGAGTCTGTACCCAACACATGTCAGCAGGGCATAAACATGCATAACTAGGTTGTACATTACTTTCCTATTATTACTTGAGGTCAAGTTTTACAGAAAGCTATACTGTTGAGGGACCATTCAGATATTTATCTCCTTAAAACATTCCAATATTGTCTTCAGACTGTGTCTGTTATTTTGGACATATAAGCAAAATGTTCTTATTTCAATTTCATTTTATCCAAATCTGACCTTCTAATAAATAATACTGTTAATCAGGCTTCCTGTCTAAGGCAATCACCTTATCTAGATAACTGATTATAATATCAAGCCAGTATTTATTTTCCTTCCTTTAATGCTTTGAAGCTCTTGGAATCTTTTCCTTCACAAATTAGATTTTACACTATATTAAAACATTACTGAGCTGAAAGAAAATACAAATGGCCTTTGTGGTATGATGTGCTCATTTGAATACTGGATCTGAGAGAAATTTACATTCCAAATAATTCCATTACAGATAGTTGTACCTGGTAGGAGTCCCAGCAAAGCCACTTTCTTGCTGTATAGCTTGGGTGTGTCCCCTGAAGGTGAGGAAGCAGAACTGAGCCCAGCATGAAGCAGAAACTGCCTCTCTGCTAAAATTGCTGTGACAAATATATTAATAAATCAAGTGATTTTAAGGGCAGGGTCAGAAACCACCAGTGCTGCCCCAGGGAGCACTGCCAGGTCCTTGGGATGGGATTTGAGGGAGCCTTCATTTCAGTTTTGGTTTTGCCAGATCCACCAATTTTAACAGATAAGAAGAGCTGTGCTCAGCAGTCTCAGACACAGCCACTGACAGTTTAGAGTTGTTTCTCATTCCTCTTCCCAGTTTTCCACCACCATCTTGAGTTAGTTTAAATCAGTCTGTCAATCACATAGTGTTTTCAATGCTTTTTGATTTGCTGCAATATATAGAGAACTACTCAATTCATAGTTATCTTTCATCTAACCAATAAATAATGCAGTGACAGGATACTCCAAAAAATAAGATGTCAACATTCCAATATGTACCATGGTACCCATGCAAAACACATGACACTTGCAATATGCAAGTTGAGCTCAGTTACTCAAGAAAGTTTATAGAGAGTAGACACAACCTAAAAAGATATTTTAACATCTAATTATCTATAAAACTTGGGGAGATATTGCCAGGAAAAAAATGCATTTCTATGTTACCCTCTTATCTTTTTCTTTCTGTTCCTTAAGACATGTAATCAGTTTATTTCACAGACTAAAGCAAAGAATGAGATTTCCAAATCAGCACAGTGATTTAAAAAAACAAATCTTGATTTACTGTTCATCAGTTGGGAATTACTGTATAGTAATTCTGGGTGATCAGACAATTTTAACATTTTTATAGGAAAAAGCAGAACCAGTCCAAATAAAAAATAACAACACAACCCCTGCAAACAATCAACAAAGTAATTTGTTTTTTCATGAGAAGGTACCTAAATGTTTAATTCCAAAAATACTTGAATTAATTGTGCACTTCTACAAACATTTAAATGGAAATACTTAAAATTGAAGAATTCCCTCAGCCCTCACTATTTTGAGAATCAGCCAAAAATTTGTTCAAATCATTGGTATATTTTTTCTGATCTCTGAAAGTTTCCAGAGATGGATCCTTGGATTATTTTTTTAAGCCTCTGAAAAAAACACTTTCTTTTTTACTCTACAAGTGGACACATAAAGGACTAATTACATTTAAATTCTTCCAACAGTTATAAAAGCTGTTATGGCTGAGGAGCTACCATAAAACAACCACATCTTCACATTTATGCAGAATTCTCCTTTCTTCAAAGGAACAGGTATGAAACTTCCTACATTGCTCCAAGAAAGATTGCCTAATATTGGCCAAGTATTTTTTTAACTTAATAAAATAAAGCGTGATTTAAAAAAAAATCAGCATTTCTCTCTTTCAGTGATTTAGATTTTGCAGTTTAATGAGAGTGCTAAAAGGCAAATTTTATGTGAGGTAGATTATCACAGCTTCCAAAAGACCAAAGGAGATAGAAATGCTGTAACAATGATATGATGATTGCAAGTGGTGGAATACAATCTGATATAAACACACTTGATTACTCCAGCAGCTACTAAACTGCCAGTGATTTCAGTGAGCATTATTTCTTTAAAATCCTAATTTTTTTTGTTCAATATTAGCACCTAAAACAACTGTCATAAGTCCACTGTCCTCAGCAGGCATCTCTAATTGAGAACAGATATTTACTGCTGCCTACTCATGGTTTAAAATAGGTAGCAGCAAGGCCAGCTTTCTGTGGCTAGAGACATGAAGTTCTACTGAATCATGAAGTTTATACTGATACACGTTTATTTTTTTTTTATGGAAAGAAAGTTAGAAAACATCTTCATCAGCATATCTCACAGGGGTTCCTTATTGTTATTAAAAATTAAATTAATTATGATAGTTGCCAACACAAGTGCTCCCTGTCTGCCACTAGTGAGCATTATTTAAGACTTAGAGATTTATAGGTAGTAATTTCCAGCAGCTGCACTGTCTGTGGGCTGGGCCAGCAGGATCACTTGAGGGGGTGATCAGGCACTGTCGGCAGCAGCGGAGAATTCCTGCGCTCCATCACCCCTGCCCTCATCCCTGAGCAGGGACAGCCCCTCTCACTGGGAATACACTTTCATTTTACTGCCAGCTCACTACTTGGTTGGAGTGAGAAACCAACAAAATGCCCATTAATTTCTGCCAAGATCGTGACAGGATTTTTTCATGTGCAGCTGTCGGGTTGGAATTAGGCTGAAACTACCCATTCATTTCCTTTATTTTCCCCATTTGAAACCATGATACAGCCCATGGTGCAGACTGTACTTCCAGTGAATATTTGAGACAGATTTTCTTCATTTAATATTGGAAGTAATTCTGATACTGTATGTCAGGGAGGAAATAACAAAAAATATTGGGATGAGACAAAGGAAATTATCATACATCTAATAAGTATAATGCAGTTAGTTTTTCCTTACTTCATGAAAGCAAAATTTTTTTCCAATACTTACTTTCTACATATGATTGGCTTTGGAACAATAGTAACTAAAAATGCAAAAATGTCCAGTGCAAATTTAAGGTGTCATATTTGATTTTTCCTCAGTCACACAGCTTGCATACCTCCACTCTTAAAGATGCCTACAGTAGTTTCTCTTTTAAATAATAACACTCAAACATACATTCAGAAACTCTCTTTCACATTTCTTAGCCTTGCTTGCCCAGAATAACTGTCATGAAATATTTTACAGTAGATTTTTACAGAAATAGCACATCTTATAGAACACCTACCCCAACATTCATTTATTATTCTGGTAAATAATGACTCTAATTACAAAATGCAGTTTCCAGGCATGGAACTGTTCTGGAAAAGATTGGTTTATCTAGTCAACTTCTCTATAAATAAAGCCCTTGGTGGTAATCACCAAGGACTAGAAATATTTTCACAGGTTGCTGTGAAAGAATAACTAGTTGCTAAATGAATCTTCCCAGTGTCTGTTCAAGGGATGACTCATCTGCTCCAATGTACATGTAGGAATGACATCCAGCATCTTTGGACTTGGATATTTCACCTACCTTTTCAGATAAAGCATTTCAAGTCATTGCCATTAAAAAAACATTCAAAGACACAAAGAAAGACCTTTATCAAGCAACCTGTAATCTCGATGGAAATACATACCATGAATAAAGGATATGAGTAAAAGATATTCTCTTTACCAAAGACTGAAAAAAAACACATAACAGAATGATTTAAGTCTAAGGAGCATTAACCACATTACCAAGTAGCAGCTGGTTTCAGCTGGATATGACCTTCAACAACCTCATCTGACTTTAAAGTTGACCCTGCCATGAGCAAACTGTGGGAATAAATCACCTCCAGAAGTCCTTTCTAATATGGTTATAATTATCAGTAATATCCACTAATAATCACTAGTAATAATACTTAAATGGTAATCTCCTGGCACTGTAAATATGCTCTTTATTGTTTTGGGTGCCCATTAAGAAACTCAGTTCACTGTTATCTAATTTAAAGGGTCAGGGAATTTTTAATTATTTTGCAGGAAGTCACAACCTCCACTTTAAGTTTGCTAAAACAAGTACAGATCTACGACATTTATAGAATTTCTGAGAAATTGAATATGACTTTTTTTCTGCCTTACAAGGAATGATTTTACTTGGACATTATATTAGTCAGAAAAATCATAATCAGGATAAATTATATATTAAATATTACTGGTTATATCAGTTTGATTATGTAAAGTATCTGATTTACTATATAGGACCTATAGTTTATGAAATTACAAATTTCAGAGGGTTAATCCTAAGGCATTACAAAATTATTTGACACTATTAATTTTACTTCTGGTAATACCTAGGCCCTTTCAGTTGAAGACCACTATACATGGGAATTTTTATAGCAGGCATGCCACACTGTACTCAACAACACAAGCAGGATATGGGAAGCTCCAGTCTGAAATGTGACCAGTTTTCTGCAACAACTCTGATGCAACACAATGGCTAAAAATAAAAAAGACTCAGGGGACAGCAGCACAACATAGTCCATAACAATTGCTTTTCCTTTTTTAACTCCTGATTTTTATATTATGCCTAATGTCCAGTCACTTTCAAATGTTTAGGTCAAGTCTAAGTGTTCCTAAACCTACCAAAATTTGACAGGGAATAAACTGTGCAAGCAATTTGTCAGTGAGTGCCTGAGGAGGAGGAGGAAGGTGGTCTCTCAGGTGCTTGGCAGCAGTCTGTCAGTGGAGGGGGCGAGGGTTACCACAGCACCTCACTAGGTACAGCTTGGAGACAGTTCTTGTCATCCACTCTGACTGGGCACTTGCACTTCCTATGTGTGGGAATTGGTGGATCTTGACCTGTAGAGGCAGGTTAATGGCAGTCAATATGCAGACTCTTTGAAAATCTACCAGACTCGTTCCGTTTTTCTTTCTTCAGTTTTCTTGATTGATAAGGAAAAAGCACAAGAATGAAGAATCCGATGTAATTATGTGATTAAATTACAACTTGACCCATTCAGTTGCAGAAGACTGCCTAACAGCAAATGGCACAGTGCAGGTCCCCATCCTTTCCTTTCATTGTTCTCTGTGTGGGAGAACTTTAGGGACAAAGGCTGATGTGACCTTTAAGAAGAATTCTGTTTGGTTCAGACAAGACACAACCATTGCAGTACTCAGAGAAGATTATAAAAACACAGTCCAAGTCTAATGTGCAAAGCTAGGCAGATGGTAACAGAGAAACAGGTTTTCTTTCCTTCCCCAAAACCTCATCCCCTTCACTTTCCGCTCCAAGACCCAGCACCATTCTGCTAAGGGTTGTCATTCCTCACTTCCCCAGCTCCAGAACATATTAATCAAAGGAGATGAAGATCTAAAGAGACACAGCTAATTCTATAGCTCACACAAAATGCTTCATGCAAGTAACACATTTTCTAGAACTTATAAGAAATTTAGATATTTAACGTTATGACAAAAAAAATCAAGCTGTAAAATATATCAGCAGATATATCAGATGATAGGAAATAGATGAAACACACAAAAGTGCGAGAGCCAAAGAAGAGGCCCACTCTACTGGTAAATATATTTCTTCTAATAACAGATATGCAATTCACTCAAAAGGCCCTGAAACAGGATGTTACAGTAAGATATGTGTCTTTGGTAAGAAGTCCATATTTGTCTGATACTGTCGTTTTATCTCTGCAGAGCAGATTTAACACAATATGTTCCTGTTTTGTTCCTGGTGTTAGAACTATATATATTGGCCTAGGATATCTTCTCATCATGAAAAATTATATTTTAAGCCACAGAAGAGGAATTGTTATGCACAGTATTTTATGTCCATTTGGTGTTTTGGGAATCATCAATTGCTTGTTTTCTTGTTCACTGTGGAGTCATGTTCTGTTCTAGTGCAACTTAGACTAGTCCAGTAATAGCTGTGTGTAATCTCTGTCTTTGTCCATATGCTTGCCTGTTTAGAACAATATCACAGATGTAAATAACAAAACCTGATTTTTCCTGATGCATGCAGATCCTCCAAAGTTTGATAGGATATGGCCGAATATTTCTTCCCTTGAGGTTTCTAAACCAAACCAAGGTAGGATGCTGTGAAATTCTTAGTGGTCTAAAGGTACTGAAATTGCTCTCAACAAGTCCCACGTGGTAAAAAGTAGTAACAATGATACTCCAACTAATTTTTCTCTGGTGCTAAGTAATGCTATCCTGTGAGAAAATAACTATAAAGCAAACCTTACCTGAAAAGGGAGTCTTCCAACACTCAGACTGTGCACATTACTGCAAATATGGGAATAGCAGACATACAGATTAAAATTTATGATACACAGAAAGCCCACGACAATTTTGGACCTGTTTAGGTAGCACAATCTGTATTTTGAATAAGTTTTAAGATTTTTAAGTGAACAAAGGTTGTCACTGTCGGCCTCAAAAGGATTTTTAATGTCTTGTTTCCAATTTGTTTTCCCAAGTGAGCTGAGAAACATTCTCAGCTTTCATGCCATCCACAATACAAGCAAGTTCTCTGCAGGAAAGACCCATGGTTTTCTACAATTTGAGTGCTACACAAAAAATTGCTCACATACTGTGATATGACGATTAGCACTGAAAGAAACAAAATTACTTTTTAACATGACTAATAAAACTAAGATTCTTTGTTAGTTGAAGAAGTATTCAGCTATACTTCACATTGCAAAGTGATTGCTCATTATAAAAATAATTTCCTTCTGTTCTTATTTACTGCCCTTTCCTCCCCCAAAAGTCCCTGCAGAAATCTGGCCTGTGGCTTGCTTTCATGTTCAAAGGGTGTCCTTTCTGTGCTGTAACACGCAGAGGTGGAGGATAAAATTAATGAAAAGGCAATCTAGACAATGGCCACTAAACTAAATGAGATGTATTGGGAATCTGTTGGGAATTACAGGGGAAGGGCTGTAATTAAGTCTGGATCACAATCACCAAATCAAACATACGCCATGTGCATGTGAAATCTTCCATGTTATGCCTGCAAGTTTCTATGTGCCCAACAAAACTGAAGAAATTGATCTAAGCTCTATGTAAGGATTACAAATGTACTTTAGTTTGGACTATTCACCATATATTTAAAACAAAGCATCCCTGATAATGTAATACCTAGCATTCCAATTTCATTTAGCTCCACTGTATTGCCCAAGTTTTTGCATGTCTTTTTTAAACAAACAAAAAACCCCATCCAGACTGATCTCTTTTCCTCTGCTCTCTGTAAGGATTAGCCTATGTTATTCAGAAGAATTTTGAATTAAAACATTCTCAGTTAAATTATACTTAGCATTTCTAATGGATTTCATTGCTTAATTATACTGTGTGTGATCCAAGATCTAACTTCATTACAAAATATGTTTTGAACAGCACAGAATTATTCAGTGTTTCTTCCCCAAAAATAAGAGTTGAAGTAAATTTAGTTTTGCTGTTTTGGTAGGGAGCACAAAACACAAAAACTTCAAAGCATTTCTATTCAGCTTTTGTGTGTTTGCAGCATATTGTTACAGTCTTTAACATATAGTGTAGATTAAATATTTCATTTAAGGATAATGTATGAAAAGAATTATTACAGAAATCTGCCTATATCTAAATATTTTATTGTGGGGTTTAGGTTTATGCTAATTGGCCAGAATAAATATGCATTCAAATTCAATAAAACCCTTTTCAGACCACTCTGGTTACCATATAGTCATTTGTCATGGATTGGGAGAAACCACCAAATAGCCTCTAACACAAAACTGCCACAGTGCATAGATGTGAATTACATTCCCTGTCTTGATCTTGGATGTTACAGCTCAAATAATTCATAATTGATAATGTATAACTCATTTTCTGTAACTTTACCCTCTCCTTACAAGAAAATAACCATTGTTAAATTCAAAATTTGGAGAATAAACATGTTTATCTTAATATTTTGATTTGTTCCTTTATGGTAATTTTTCTAATTTGCTGTTCATTTTATTACCTATCCAGTTGCTCCCAAATTAGCTATGTCAACTGTTTCTTCTGTTCAAGTTGCAAACCACAAGAGAGGTAGGAATTCTAGGATTCATACAGCGATCCCATAGTGCTCTGTGTTGTGAAAACATTGCACTGTATGAATCTGGAATATCTGTGGAGTGTACCCATTAGTTTACTGGTGAGGCATCTTCATTGAGTACAACAGAAGCATTAAGTCACATAAACATAAGCCATACAAAGAAAAATAAATATGCTTCTTAGACAGTTGTTGGTGGCAAATAAAGTGACATGGCATTTATTTTTAAAGGAGTTAAATGTATGAATATGACTATTCAGATCCTTGCCTAGAAAGCAGATGTTTACTGGAGTCTTGTTTTCCTCAGTGATATGCATAAATTGTAAAAGAGGAAACATAAGCAGATTAGTTGAGGGCAAACAATCCATAAAACATCAATTGTCCATGTCCTCAAGAAGTATCTGTAAATGCCATGGAATGTAATGCATTGTTATGTCTTTTAATGCATTGTAAGTGTGCCTTATGTCTTCATTTTATTGTAAGTGTGCAAATTCAGAGTGCAGGCATTACATTTTGAACTGACGTTCTAGTGTTCTATAAAAATAATGGAATTTTATGAATATAATAAAGGATGCCAATATTCTTTCTGACTTACAGGCAACCTGTTTCATTTGCATATCTGTCATTCACAGTCTGAACCCTGAGATCTTTTCATTGTTTTTCCTCATCAATTTATCTGTAAAGAGTATGTATGAAGATGTTTTGTCTTTCTGCAGCTATTGTGAATATCTCATTATTCCTGAAATACATACGAACAAGGAAAAGGGTTATTAAGAAATTTCTGAACTTAGTTTGACCCATTTGATGAGATCATGGTAATGAACCATACTGTTTGTTATGAAGCAGGTAATTTCTAAGGTTACAATGAAATCTCCTTTGTTTGCCTTAGTGTATGGAGGAGGAGCACGGAGTGACTGGAAAATGAAAAAGAAAAAATAATTTAATGATTTGTGAATGCACTTTTCTTGAAATATGCTTTGTGCTTTTAATTAAAAAGTGACACTAATAGCTGTCTCATGCAACCTGTCTTAGTTTAGAAATGACGCTACCCTTCCATGTGTGTTTATCATTGTTTCATGTGATGACATTTCATGTTTTAATGGTTGTAGCTGAAGCTTCAGCTGAACTTCATCCCTACAATAACAGTATGTTATCTCAAAAGATGTAAGTGCATAGCATTAGAATGGGGGGAAAGTGTTCAATTTATAGAAACAAAACAATTAGATTATCAACTTTGTGAGCCTGCTTCAGTGGGTAATTTTATCATGCTTTCTGCAACAGAATCAAGATTGTTTCAATAAAATCATTGCACTGGAAAATAGTCAGGGAGGCTCAGAGAGTCAATGCTTCTGTGAGTTTGTAAGGGATTTGACAGTTCCTGAATCAGCCAAAAACAATGATCACATCTAACATGGCAATCCCTTTTTCCTTCACATTAAACCTATCTAGTCATTACCTCTTCTCTGAGATTTTTAGTTTCTGAACCATTCACTCCTTATTGTTATTCAACTTATCTGTGTCTTTTCTGACATGTGGTACTCAGAACTGAAAGCAGCATTTTCTGTCACTGTAAGAAGCTCATGTCATTTCACAATGGTTGGTAAACCATGTGCAGCCTGATTTTGAGACTTTTCCCCCATCTCCTTCAGTGTTTGCATGACTTTGCCAGTGCGTGACAGTGCTTTAGGCTGCTAGCCAGAGCTGTGTGCCTAAAGACCCTAAGCTGTGCTTCTGACAGGTCTAACAAGCAGAATACTTTCTGGTTAAGGTGAACCACGATATGCTGGAAGGGCCGTACAGCACTGACAGCTTCCCAGCTGGCACAGTGCTGAATGCAATTCTGTGTGCTGTGTCTGAGTGGCTTAGGGCAGCACCTCATGTAGCCAGTAGAAAAAGTAATTCCATTTCAATCAGAGGAGGACTTTTTACATAGCTTATTTTTGTAAGCACAGAGGGATGTAAATATGATTCACTGACCAGGCCAACAGCAAAAAATTACTGCACTAACAAACAACGTGGTGGGGAGGCAGGGGAGAAGCAAACATTGTCACAAAAGTGATTTAATCATTACTTTCCTTTTTTTGTTTGTTTTTTCCTTTTGCCATTGCTAACATTTGATCAGATGTTGGACTGCTTTCGAGTTAATTGTGTTTTTTTCTACACCATGTAGAATTTACTTGTGTAATGAAGACTACTAGAGCACTCCTGTATCTTAGCATTAGTTAACTTTGAGACAAAGACTTTGTTTCACACAGCACAGTTGTTACGAAAGAGCAATACCCATAGAATTGCAACCAAGTTTAAAATTTGGTCTCTTTGTTTACCTTAAATATTAATGACCCTCCTCTGAACTTGAGCAGTCCTCCTGCATAGGTTTCAGAGCATGTGCATATATCCGAGTGCTTCATAATTATTAGAGGTTTCTTCACTCCAAATCATAACTTGGAGCAGGCCCTGTGTTACAGAGTGAATTGCTTAATATGCAGCTTTTGTTTTTGTGCTGTTATGGCTAATTATGTGTAGTAGTAATATAATTGAAGGTTGTATTGCAGTTTCAGAGTGGAAATAGTTCAGTCATTCATTCATGAACTATTTTCAGTTTCTTTCTTGCTGCCTTAAATACAAAAGATATTGCAGCATAGTCAGCTTTTCTTTATAGTATATAGGCAAATTATTTCCTCTAAATTCACCTGGAGTGAAAATGTTTAGCAACAAGTCTGACCAATATACCAATATAGTATCATCTCACCAAAACAAATTCTCTGTTGGTAGCAGAAGACAGATCCTTTGTCAGACAGAAAGACTGACAGCCTTGCTTCTGAATCTTGAATTCACAAAGTTCGGATTGCTTATCTTTAGTCAGTCTTTCTTACTTTAAAAATCAAACACAAACATTATCACACCAATTTTCCATTACTCCTGTTTGCTAGTGCTATTTTCCACTTTTAGATCTCATCTGTTCCACACAGGCAGTTTTCACTTGAGCAAGATGGATATACTTGGAGAAAAATGCTGCAGGGTGGCTGGCTGAGATGCTGAATCAGACTGACCAGCTGCAAAAGACCACAAACTAACATTTTTTTCCTCCCTACTCAATTGTGTCAAGTGGTAACATACTGAGACTGATACACCAAATGTTTTCCTGTACTCCAGCAGTTACTGGCATCAAAATTATCAGATTAGCATCAGAACCACAAAACACTGGTTTAGCAGAATAACATTGATGAGAACAAGAAATATATGTTAACTAAATGCGTATATGTAAAATGGATTAATGTTTTCTGGCAGCAGAAAGGCAGCTCTCAAGATTGAAACATATGTTGTGCTAAGTGTCTAAAAAAAATTAATCCATTTACGTTCCAATCTATTTATGGTCCAGTACATCAGACAAAAGCCAAAGAAATATCCATGTATTGGGAGTGCAGAGCATACTCAGAAACACGTACTGTGACTGATGTTTCATTACAAAAATACAGACAGGCTCAAATACTGTTTGTGATGCCCTACTCTCCCCCAGTCAGGGGGATGATCAGGTGGCCCAGCATAATCAGGAGCATACCAGAGGAAAGGCAGCACAGGGGACTTGGTCTCTGTCATACATGGAAACACCCTCTGCTACAGCTTTATCTAATTACAAGATAATTTCAAGACCTCAAAGCCCTTCCAAGTCACTGCCTCCAGTGCTCCATTGTTGCAGGAAACATACTGTAATTTATTCTACCAGTTAATAAACTGTAAAGTATCTGTAAAGCATCAGTGTGTTTTGTGACAAGCAGAAAGTGTCCAACAACCTCACTTCCCTAAAGCCTAGATATCATCATCTAATTTCCAGCTGCAATTTCCCAGTAGCCAGTTAACACCATTTGTTACTGTGCCAGTGTTGACCATTAGGACGGCAGGAGGCTTAGTTCCTTGCTGTATTTGTACAAGAAGGTGATGCCTTCTATCATCAGTTTGCTAGACTAAACAAGGCAAATTTTCCTAGTCTTCACTTTTTAATTAGACTCAACTTCTCTGATCATCTTAGTAACCTTTCCTGCATTCATTCTGGGCTCATAATCCCAAGAGTTGAGTGATCAGGCTTACACAAGTATTCTACACAAAGTAGAGCTGTGTCTTCTATAATGTTATGGATAATTTCGGATTTTTTCTTTGTTCTGTATAAAGCCAAGTATTGCTCGTGATTAAAGACTAAAAGGCACTAACATTCTATATTTAATGAAGGGGTTTTTTAAAGTGGCTGTCATGCCAACTTCATTTCAGATGGCTGCAATAAGCATGCTTTCTAATCAATACACATTTCAGAATTATCATATTCTTTCTAGCCCAGATGGTTTTCATCTCAGAATACAAAAACTGGTTAATGCTTACCTCAAAAGTACAGTTGATGTAGTTCTCCAATAACTGTTTTCCTTCCTTTTCTTCACTGTTAATCGTTTTAGGAGGTGTTGGCCAAAATTGTCAAACTAGAGATTTGTTTGGCCATTAAATAAAACACTCTGGTTCTCAAGGTGCCTACTAGTTATAGCACCCCGAGTTCAATAGCATTTTTGAACACTCTCCATTTCTGTCAGGAAAAAAAAAAATTATTTTACTTACAGCTGTGGATTTAATCATAATTAAGTTTGACAATTTTGTCCACTGAATTTAGCATTGTTAATACGAGGAGGTTTTTCCCAGGTCTTGATTTATACTCATCTCTAATGTGCAAAAAAGATGTGCATTTCTCTCAGCGGAAACTGAACCTCCAGTAACCCTGAAAGGTTTACAACTGCAAATGCTTCAGTTCCATCAGGTCTGCCAACAACAGCCAACCTCCGACGTCATGCCATGGTTGTCGGGTCACGCTAACCTGCCTGAAACCAGCTCCACTTCCATTGCAGATAAACATCTGCTGCTGTCCATTACATTGATTAACATGTATGTGCCATTCATTCATACTTCTGCTCATGGTTCATTTTAACTAAGCATGTAATGTGCTATTACTCTGCTGCTGTATACACTCTGTATACATTTCTGTTCTTCCTTGAAAGACTGTGAATGCTTCGGGCACTCCAACCGGTGCAGTTACATCGAGCTGCTCAATACGGTCATTTGCGTGAGCTGTAAGCACAACACTAGAGGTCAGCACTGCGAGTTATGCAGGCTGGGCTACTTCAGAAATGCTTCTGCAGAGCTGGACGATGAAAATGTGTGCATAGGTCAGTCCCGGGATAACTGCGCCTTTTCTTCTGTGCCTTTTCAGCTCCTGGCAGCTGCTAGGGACCACTGCTGCTTACTTGTACTGAAGCCAGAATGAGCTTTTTCAATGGATCACAACATCTGTGTAGACTTCTCACCTCATTTCTATTGCCCTGGTAGCCCCAAGGAGGCATTTTGAATCTGTAAATGATAAAAAATCTCCCTGGCTATGGGTCCTGGTTAGACTTTCCCCAGAAACCCCTGAGACACTGGATGTGCTCTCCTTACACAGGAGGGAGCCACACTGGGGTCACACATGAAAATTAAGGAGTTGAGTCTTAAATACCTGGTCCCAATCTGACTTTTGCAATTACTAGTAGACTCTTGAATACTTGCCTGGATACCTACAAAGGTTGCCAGCTCCATCAAGAGAACAGAGAGACCTCTGTTAATCCCTTTTATTCACTAAATTTCACATGTTGTAGCTAATTCTGCTCCCAGACGCAGGGTTGTAAATGCACTGTTACCTCCCCTCTACTTAGAGGAGGAAACGATGCCCGTGAGGTTAAGAACAGAATTTGTCAAATCAGTGTGACACAGTGTCAATTTAGAAAAGGGATTCCTAGGTGAAAACAATGCTTTAGAACAAGCATCTGTTATAAATATTCAAACTGCAGAATTAGAGAAAATATTAGAACATAATAAGAAAAGCATATTAGGAAAAAATTTAAGATCTTAGCACCCTAGAAGAATATGCATTGTTCTCATGTGACCACAGACAGTATACAACAAAGTTAGGTGAAGCCTGAACATAGTCAATAAAGGAAGCTTTGCACAATGACCAGTAATTAACAGATAAAGACACTGTTTAACTTACTAAAGACATTGTTCCAATAACAAACAGAGATGGAGAATTTAATATCATGTTTCTTATAGACATAAGCACCAGCAGGACCTGTTCTGGATTTTCAATGTCATTTTTTTTCTTTCCATCTTCCAGGAAGCAGAGAGTAGTTAGCAGATTAGGACCTGTTCTGGATTTTCAATGTGATTTTTTTTTTTCTTTCCATCTTCCAGGAAGCAGAGAGTAGTTAGCAGATATTGTAAAATCAAAACATACTACAGGTGAATAAATTACATTTTAACACATTTATAATCCATTGCTGAGATTCAAGCCAGAAACTATTCAGATTGCTGTTATTTGTTTGAGTTTGTAACTTGGCAGATTTACATATTTATCTTGTGATAAACACCCAGATCCATCCATGCACTGCATTTCATGTGTCCTTCTTTTAACTTTGCTTGGCAATGCATTCAGGAAATGCATGATCTCCTTTGCCAGTAATTAGTCAGAGCTAATAAGAACTTTAGTAGGCAAGTCATGATTTTGTATGACTGTGCTGAGGATTAACACAATCAAATGTTCTTGGAAAAAAACTACTGTCCCACATATTTGTTTGATGTAAATGATAGACATCATTGGTGTGACATCAGGGCTGTATAATTTCAGCTGCCTAAATAGGCCTAATGAATACAACTCTAAATTGGTCTGTTTGGAATTTTTCATCAGCTCATTCAGTATGTTGTTTTCCCATATACACTGAAATGCTAAGACAGCAGCTGCAGCTACAGAAGACAAGGAAGTTAGCAAACAAAAAGCCAAAAATAAGTAATTTTTAAATTAATTTATAAGTGATATATTTAAAATGTCATGGGAAGACAACTGTGCACTTTAAAATTGCCAAGATACTAAGGAAATAAAATTTTAAATCTTTTATTTAGAAAAAAAAGGCAATGTGAAACATTTGCTGACTTTCCACCTTAATGCAAGCAGAATTCTCTTGTGCTCCCCTGAGAATTGCACCATGTAAAATAACTATAGGATCAAACCATGGTTTTCTACACGTTACATAATTAATTTGAAATAAATAACATTCTTGCTGGACTAAGACAGTTTTCCAGATCACAGTTACCATACAAAATGTATGTTTCGAATGTATGTGTCCTAACTGATTTGCCAACTTTAGAGGTCTTTCCTACTTCTTGTGTAAAGTCAGTGAAATGAACAGACACCTAAAGCACTTTTCAGAAAACAGAGAAGTTTGTTCTTAAAGTGCTGTCTTGATCTGGGGCTCCTAAGATTTAATTGGGCAAAATGTGGAGTATTTTCACCTGTGAGAGAGCTGATGGATTCACCACCCTTCTAGGTCAAGCACAGTCTTGCTCTATTGGAAACGCTCATTTCTCTTTTCTCCGAGTTTAAAAGCAGTGTTCTGTGGTTTAACTACAAGTGAAATGTTGGCATGAACATTTTAATAAGCAGATTTGCAGTGATATGTGCAAGTCTTATTCCCGTATGAAAGTCATTTTTTCAGGCTAATTCTTTCCTCTTCAGCCATATATGTAGAAAGGTAACAAATGTTTGGATAAGCTAGTTTAATGGCAGCTAACAGGGCTTTGGCTCTGATTTATCAAAACTGCTTCACAGTTTGATATATATGGAAATACATATGGTAAGTACATGGATAACAAATCTGTGAATCTTAGCTGATGCTAAATCAATGGAGAAAATGTAAAATGCTTAATTTTTAAGAATAAAGAATTCAAATACTGAAAAGGTTTTTTACCAGTGAGCCAAATGCAATGTATTATACAGTGGGCTTAAATCTTAATTATTGACGCCCTTAATTTCTTTAGCAGCAAAATAGATTTTATTTCCTAAAATGAAATATCAAAAATTTGTGGATTTCTATGTTAACTGCAAAATCACCTCATATGGGCAACTGCAGTTTCAGAATAAATCAAAGTATTCTGAAGTTAAAAATTATTCATTCGGTATGAAAAATAATTTAACAGCTTGGAGAGTTTTTTATTTCTTGATAAAGCCCGAGTGACTTTCAGTGAATGCACACACTGACAAGCAAGGATAGCATGGAAACCACCAGGTAGACCCAGAGTAATAAAACATGGCCTTTGCCTCACAGCATAAATACTGAACTGGTGATTTCTGTCACACTTCTAACAAAGCCACCCTTGCAGTCAGTCAGCCTCAAGCTTTAGCTAGCACCAGAAGCCCTAATGACACGTGGTTAAGTTAGCCCTGAGGTTTGTCCTGGAGCCACTGTCAGCCCCAACTAATAAGCCTGCAAGCCTCAGCCCATTTCCTCACCTCCTTTCTTATTTATGCTCATTGTGTTTTGTTTGAAGCATCACACTGATAGAGTGAAGCCCAGTGAACAGATTACCATTTCTGTTATCTTCCTATCCTTACAAATAGTTCCCAGATGAAGGTTAGGATGGAAATTCTTTCTTGGTTCAGATCTGCAGGGGCTTTTTCCCCCACCCTGGAACCTGTGTGTGGTTTGCTTATTAGGGTGATCTGGGAATGTTAGTTTAGTGTTATTTAGTGCCCTGTTGTTGCAAGGGCATTGGAGATACTCGCTGCCTCCCTGTGGCACACTGAAATTGTGACCTTTGAGATTTGTGATGTCTTAAGTATTTGGTAGGCCTTGGGAAGTGTTCCAAAAATTGTGGTTTGTGTTGAACAATGACCCTGAATGTTCTGTAGGTTATATTACTGTGGTATCAATTGGGAAAGATGGAAGCTAGAATTAGTCTGTTGGGTGTTCTGATTGGATCGACTAATTTTGCAAAATGGCCTGGCTTAAAACTTTGTTTCTACTATTTACTTTCCCTTCAATAGCATGATATGGGCCTGGAACTTCCTACATGTTTATGTGACAGAGTTCAGTAGGAAAGGTTTCACTGGTTCAGGGTCTTGTTCTCTGGAAAATATAACATCCAGTATCACATTTCCTTCACAAATATTTGTTTAAATCACTGTAACTTCATTATGTCTCACAAAGTTGTTTTTAACAAGAATTGGGCCCTGTTTTTTAATGAAATTCCAAGTTTTTGTCTTTCATGGTTTTCTATAAATACTCTTGAAGCAAATTTTACTTCCTGCATTCAGAATGTATCTCAAGTCTATGCCTGTTTACATAAGCATTTGATACATCTGATTAACATCAGAATTCCCAGCTTTTCAAAAGGCACTCACTTTGCTGTAATACTCAGCCTTGCACAGTATTTTTGGCATGTCAGTTTTGTGCTTCATTAATGAATGTTGCCAGCTAATTGATTCTATTATTATTATTGTGGAACCCTTTTGCCAAAGGTAACTATTCTTCTTCAGCATCCCAAATGTTCAAAGTGCCATCTGTAATTTATAGTTAATAAACAGTGAGACAAGAGATGACAAATGTCTTTCTGGTAATTTCTATTCCTGTTAGTTTTTTTATTGGAGATTTATACATATGTAACTTCCCAGTTCAACTCCATTTTTTCATTTATGGTACCACTAAGGTTTAACCTTATGCTAGGGAACAATTGCCAGATATAGTCATCAAAGCAGCACTGATTCACAAAAATATAAATCCAGACTCCCAGCATGTTGCCCCAAATCAGGAAAAAGCAGAGATCAGATGCTTCCAAAAGGAGTCTGTGATCTCAGTTAACAGTGAAGTTACTCTGGGTCTACATGGGTCTACATAAAAATGAGATAACCCTTCATTTGAAAACAAAATATAAATAACCAATGTGAAGAACAGGAATGCCAAAAATGAGCTCTCTGAGCTCTTTGCCTTTGTTCAGCTGGCTGAAAGCTGAACACAGATATTGTAATCACATTAAAGAAAAGGGCTGTGAATGAACAGCACAGTAAGTGTTGTGGGAGGAAATGTGTTACCCTACTTATTCTTTAATTAGCTGAACACATGTGAAAAATATACAGCGGGGAATGAGCCTCACTGCATTTTCCATCTGCACGCTGGGAGATGAGAGAAATTAAAATGGCTGCATAAAGCCTGTTCTTAAGGGTTTTGCATTACATTAGTGCTCACCTCAAGCTTTTCATTGCAGAATACGCAAAAGGTTTATTAATGTCACTGATAAATCAATCTCATCAATTTAATGGCAAATATTCACTTAAATTATTATACTGCTCAAACCTATAAAGGAAGACTATCTTGGAAATAAGTAAAGTGCATTTATATAGCCCTGTAAAGACATCTAGCACTTCTGAAAATATTGAGTAATACAGATAAGTCTATTTTAATAAAGCAAAACATTTCACCCTGATGGCGCATGGATATATCCATACTATACAAAGCTTTTCTAATGTTCATTAAATTGTCAAAAATATTCTTGCCAAAGAGAATATGTTACAATCACTTACTCTCAAGACCGTGGTATCTTCTGCTTTAAATCTTTTCTGTTTACTTTTTCTCTATGCATCATAAAACATCTCTTCCTGAAATGACACATGCAAACAAATAAATGGACATGTAGTAATTATATTCACTACAGTAGATGTTCTTAATAGACAGTCTTCCTTTACCTTTAGCACTGGAAATGCACCCTTTATTGGTTTTGAATGAATTATCTCCACATGTAGACCTGAATCCAGTGTGTATGTGTTGTCTTGTTTCTGCAGACTGTTATTGTAACCCTTTTGGTTCAGTCCATGATCGCTGTAATGACAGAGGATTTTGTGAGTGTAAGGAGGGAACATCAGGGCCTAAATGTGATAAATGTCTGCCGGGATATATCTGGCACAGCTTGGGCTGTCAACGTAAGTAACTCAGAGTCGCCCCTCTCCTGCAGCTCCGCTGCCTCTCGTCCGTGTGCTGTCATGTGCCAATTCTTGGGAGCAGAGAAAGAGCAAAAGCTCTGGGCTGTAGCAGTGCCATAATGCACTCTCCCTTGGGAGACTCCCAGCTGAGGGCACTGACTGTGCCATCCAGCTAATTCAATGCACTCCCAGTGTCCTCTCTCTCTCCCACTAACACTCGGAGGAGCTCCTGCTGCCATAGGTAAATACTCGTCTTGGCAACTGTGAAGTAAGTTTTGTATACTAAAACATCAGTATATTACTTCCAAATTCAGAATTCCTACTAAAACAAAGAAGGTGATTTCTCTGCATGTTCACGTTTTTCTGTCCTAAACTTCAGCTTCTAAGTTTATTATGCTTTAAACTATCCCTGGACAATAACTGCAAAACACTGGCTTGGTACCTGTAATAATTAGTGAAAACTAGATGAAAGCTAATGGTTGGAAAAAAATGGAAGTACACTTCCTTAAAAATAAGAGCTGAAATTTTCCTTAAACGGTGTTAGAACACATGTTGTTTCAATGCTTAGTGATATATTTTGCTTCTCTTCTGGTTAATGGGTTTTGTAAACAAGTGAGTAGAAATATCACTTCAGTATATACAAATTTAGACTTTTACTGCAAATTTTGTTCATAGTAATTTACTTAAGATTTATTCTTTTAACAGTTTTGATCATCTACTTCCAGAAACTCTGGAGAGTCCTCTCATATTTTTCTTCCATTTTCTCTCACTGCCTGCATTCTTAACCACACACACAGTAAAGACAGATTTCTACAAGAGCTTGCTTTTGATTCTTAAGACTGAGAAACACGAGAAAATAATTACTGACACCAATTAGTAATTACTGTCAGTAATTACTGAGACCAATTAGACAAATATTATAAAATTGGTCAATAGACATACAAATGCTCTAAATACTCAAAACCAAATGCAAATCTTATGTATTTTTTAAAAAAGGCAATAATGCTAGAGATTACCACTGCCTATCCAAGTGATGAGTACCTCTGAAGCAGAAAAGCTGGACTTGTGACAACACAACAAATTATATTGAGAAAGAAAATCAATAAATAATTTCAGGAAATATTGTGATAATTAACCAAATAACATTAACGAGAGTATATGAAAAGAAAATAAGCTTGCATTCTTTTGCATGGCTTGCATAGCAACACTGTTCAGTGCAGCCTGAGAAAACTGGACTTCCTCAGCTTCTACCAGCAAGCTCCTGTTTGTATTTGGCAGGGCATTTAAACCAAACCATACTTTTCACATGTGGTTGTTGACTGTGCTCATTTTCCAGATACTTCTACTTGAGTTATGATTCACAAAATTATTGGGCAGTTAGAATTGCAGCAGAAAGCAGGTGAAGTAATGTTTCAAGTTTCAAAGTTCTCTATTACCAATTCTTCACCAAATCAGATCCTAGTTACCTCCCAAACAACACACTCAGAAATAAGTGGTCTCCCTCTGTCTTTCACCCCATATGCAGAAGAAGGTTGTTGCCACCCTATACCTTATCCTAGACACTGGCAAAATAACCATTGGAATTTATGAAGCATTGGAAATACTGCAGTGACCCAAGCTACAAGGCAAAAAAGCGAAAACAGAAATCAGTATGGTTCTCTGCATAGAATTTGAATAAAGAAAACCTACCACTGTGTCCACCCAGTGGGTTTAAAAAAAGATATTAAGTACCTGAGGTACTGAACAAGTCTGGAGGACTGTTGAGCAAATTTTACAGTAATATATATACACCAGTTTGTCAAAGCAATTACTTATTAATTTCAGTACTTCCTATATTTTCGGGTTTGGACATTACACGGCAAATAATGTTCTTTTAATGAGGAGTTTTTTGAGCCCAGCATATAATTAGCTTAATTTTAGCTGAATCAAGAGTATTGTAAAAGCTTTGGACAGTTTCTGGAAATGCAAGCTAGTGCTTTTATATTTGCTGACAAAACTAATTGAGTTTCCCTCACTATGTTGTAATTTTCTGAACAAATCTCAGTCTGATTGTGTAACTGTCAGATATTCTCCAAGTTTGAACAAATTATCTGATCAATTTCAGAAGAAAAACAACTAGATGCGGTTGTCAGTTTTATGGAACAGACATCAAATTGTCGTGTTTTACCAACCACACACTGATTTAAATCTCATTTCAAGTCTTATCATGGAGGAACAGAATTCCAATTAATTTAATTTTGTACAGTGTCAGTTTTAGCTTTCTTATTTTCCCATTGAATTCTAAACAAATGACCAGGCAAGCAAGCAGACCCTAATATACAAGAAAAATAAGAACTCATTCTGTTGCCTTGGCAAAGCTCAAAAAGATTATTTGTCTGGACACGTAGCATGTGGTTTTGATCTGTTTTTCCCTAAGCCTGTGCTGCACAGGAACATAGATATGCAAAGATGGATACACACACTCACTCAACAGACCAATATGCACTTGTTTACTTTTTGTTAGACATAGGCTATTGGCATTATTATGAAATTCTATTCTTATGGAGCTTTGTTGCTAAAAACCATTGACCTACTGCAAACAGAAGCTTGACTATAAATAAACAATTTAAATCTATACCATAGCTAGTTTAATTACATGTATGATTCTATAAGTAAATGGAGTGTCATAATTCTATATATTAGTAAACCTATTAGAGAAAAAACAACACAAATGCCAAGTTGTGTTTTCTAAGGCCCACAATGTATCATTTGATAAATTACAGTTTGGAGTCTACTTTGTACCACACAAAGTAGAAGTCACAGAAGCTATTATCCTCAGAACTATTTATTTAGGTACCTCACTCTTAGTGATTTAATCTAAACCCTTTGAGGATCCAGGCAGAGCACTCCTTGCTTGGCGTCTCTGCGCACACCGAGGTCAGATGCAATTTTAGACTTTGCCTCCCAGATAAAAAGCACTGTGATAGCAGCCGTTATCTTCTTGCATTCAGGGTTTGTGCTGCAGAGACGTAGCGGTCAGCGGGGTCTGGTTGGTACAGGAAGGTTTGCTGCCCTCAGAAGAAGAGGCACAATAGATGTGGCTGTGCTTGGCGCAGCTTCTGAGCCCTTCCCAGAACCCCTGCGGCCGCTGGCGTGGGCGTGCGGGAACGTGCTGGGCTCAGCGGGGCCTCCCTGCCACATACCCACAATGGATTTTCTCACCAGGATTAAAGCACAGGAATGAATTCAGAACAGAACAGTTTGGTCCTGAAACCCTTTTAGAACTCCTGGAACATGAGAAATTACATAGCATAGCATATATTTGATTTTTCTATTTTACGGAAACTGAACGATTTCCTTTAAAAAAGAACATTAAAACAGAACTACAAGCTCCAAGCCTGGCAAGAAATTTAACCTTCAACTACAGTTGATTTGGGCCAGTTTTTAACTGAACGTAGTGTTTTTTGGAAAAAGGAACCTGTATCAAAGGCAAAAACATTTAAACACGTACAAAATAATAAGTAGGACCATTCATGTATTGCTCACGGTTTTGCGTCTTCTGTATTTCTTGGCCATGACATTTCAGGTGACTAAAGTCCATTGCATACATACAGCAGCATTTTAAAGTAACATCTTTTAATTTCACTCACAGAAGCATTGATTCCAAAACCAGCTGCATATTTATCCAATCAGGCAAAGAAAAGATCTTTTGCCAATATCAGTTTGGCAGCACAGCTCGAATTTTCATTAGGCATGTTCCTCATGGGGGAAAAGGTGAGGGAAGGTTCAATGATTAATAATATTCTCTATCTCCCTTCATATAAAAAGCAAGTAAACACATTGAACCCACAGCACTACAAAGGCCTAGAGTGAGTGAGAGTTACCAATGGTAGCTGGCACCCCATAGCAAATCAGTGTTTTAAATTATCTTGGTTCAATAGTGCTAATCTTAAACAATTAGCAAATGAGTTTTCAGCCAGATGCCTTATATCAAGGTCTGAACAATGTATCTCATTTTACCCTTTGTCATTCATTTAAACAGAAGCAAGCAAAGGATTGCACTCTTATCTTCAATGCTCAAATAGGACTCAGTGATTGTAGTCTTCCAGAATAAACCTGTATTACTCTGCAGCCTGTGAGATAATTCATATTCTGTCACAGCATGCATTTAACTTTTTACATGATTCTTTAAATATGAGCTTTTTAGGTGTGGATTTTTTCATGTGTTACAAATGTTAGAAGCTGGAGCATTTGATCAAAATCATCATGCAGATTGAGTTGCCAAAGAAAATCGAACTCGAAATTGTAAACTTGGAATGTAAGATTAACATTTGCTTTTGGAAGATTGGATTTACCGTTCAGCAAGAAAAGAGGAAAAGACATACACCATCTAATTATTTTAAAATCTTTTTTCAAAAAACTACACCTTGCACTTCTTTCTGGACAGATTAAATACATATAAATGCAATGGTCTCTCCAGTGAAGGTTAGTGATCTTCTACAGTTTGTACACAGATGTGTCCAATACCTACACATTGAACTTGTGCCTAGGGGACAAAAAAAAACTAAGAAGAAACAGAAATGCAGAATTCAGGGTTCCCTGCTTTCCCTTTTCCTTGTAACTGCCTGTGTGGGAGTCATAGAAGATCCACCTATCTATCTTTATATCTTTTTACCAATAGCAGTTTTAATGCTGTTAGCTGGTCAGGATACAGTAGGAATCCCCTCTGCACAGGTGCTGTACATACTTTCAGTTCTGCTGTGCTTTGGTGCCAAGGCTGGTACTGTAAGCACACTGCTACACTTGGAGCTGAAGGGAAGTAAAGAATTTCTTCAAAAGGATAAAGTTCTGCTGGGGCTGAGCATTGTTGTCCTCAGGGAACAGTCATCTGTCCCTTATCTTTATACAGAACATACTGCTTTCAAAATACCTATTTTACATGGTTGTTATGCAGACTAAAGAAATTGTGTGTGTGTATAGGGGGGTTTGGATGCAAGAGGAACAGACTCTCCTTCAAATGG